AAATGAGATAGAACAGTAAACTTGATTTATTGCAAACAAATAAACTAGTACATTTTTTACACAGGTTTAAAATATAAAAAAACCCTTTGAGGGCATCTCAATTTAGATTGTAGTATACTAAATGGAATTTGCACATCAGGACTGTGCAGTTTCTGACTTTGTAACACCAGGGTTTCTTAATTTATCTGAATTTCAAGTCATATTTTATATATTTTAAGGGGGCAACAAGAAAAAAAAACACAAAATTACACCAGAAATAATGGATTTTTCTGCAGGTATAGGGAATGTTTATTTCAATATATCTTTTGTATTTTTTCTCATTTTATTTTTATGGAAAATATTGGTACTATTAAAACAAATTACAAACAATTTTAAATTATAAAATGTTTGATTAAATCAGTTACAACAAGATCACATGACCTAAACAAGATCACATCAGTTAGTTTAAATATTTTTCAATATTGTTTGGAGCGAAATGTGCAAACCAGTTTTGGTTCTTTGGTAAAAATTGGCCAAAGGGGTAATTATTTCAGCATTGTAGTTATATCAAATAGAAAGAAAATACTTTTTTTATTATGCTTGCAATGTGGTGAAATCTACAATAAATTCAAAAGGACAAAGGTATGAAGGAAAATGTTTGAGAACGACCTTGCATGCATAACTTTTCTGCAAGCTTTCATACACTTAAAAAGTCAGAAAGCTCCAGGCCTTCTCTCATTTTAGAAGGGAAATGGGTTTTTCATCTGCCTAGTACGACCCTCTCTGTATCATCCCAATGGTAGCAAAAAATATAATCATATCTTCTTTCACATTTTCAGCAAGACATTTGAATGTAATACAATAATGAATACAAAATTTAATACGACTGATTTGTGAAATTTTTATTCATTTTGAGCTGGTTAGTTATGCATGAGCAAACTATTCTAGTGAGGAAAAAAATTGCTCTAGCCCATTTAATATAACGTGTGAATATTCCATTTTAAGGTATCAATTATGCGAAATGGCAATTGAGAAGCCTAAAACGGTTAGTTGGGTTTGGGACATTGCAAAATTATGAAAGCTTTAAATCTTTTATTTTAGTAAGTTTTTTTCATATTTGTATGAAAATATACAACCAAATAAACAATTTGTAGAAGTAATAGCATTTTATTTCCCCATTGTTTCCTATAGTGTGCAAGGTTTATTTATGCAGCAGAGATTTAGGAGTGGTTAAGAAAATAATGGTTTGCTTTTTATGTAAAGAACCAAACTTATCATGAATCTATAGGAGCAAAAAGACAGAACCCCCAAAATCAATTTACACATAGTCTTGATGGAATATTCTAAAACACATGTACTCCTCTTAACTGGTGACATTTGTTCATTTGCATAATTGTTGTGTCAGTTGGTTTGTCAACCCTACAGATTTTTACTCATTGAATTGAAAAATAATAGACGCACGTGGCCAACATAGTCACTCCAACAAACCACAATACCATGCTTCAAAATGGTCAGTCAGCAGAATTGCATATGACACACAGCTCCACAGCTGCAGTAGATATAGTTTCACATATCAAACGTTTACTTATGTATGTTTGTGCATAATAAATAGTCAGAACTTTGACACCAATGTCATTATTTAGGGCCTTTTTTTTTTGCTCCCCTACAATTATGTAGTTTTATTTTTACCAGTACCCCTGCCATATTTAATTATTTATTGTTGTTCATAGATCAGTTTCAGGCAATGTAAAATTGGCATATTATTTTACTGTGCAATGTGGGAAATAAAATATATCCCACCAGGAAAAAAATACCACGGGAAACAAAAAGAATTAACACCTTGTAAACTAAATCTAACTGTTGGCCTAACCCCTTAATCCCTAACTTGGTTATAAACCTTTAAGCTAAGTCTATTTCTAAACTCAATCTTTATTATTAACTCTTTATCTAACCTACCATTCTGGAACTTTGTAGAATTTCTTTTTTCAATCAATACTGCTACCCAATATGGTTAGTTATTCTGCTGAGAATTAATGTAACATCCATGAATAACAACTCTGTTAATTTTCTGCAGTGATAAATCTAATCCCCAGAAACTTCTACATGAAAAACTATTTTATAATGCCAAAAACACAGTTATCAAACCTGAAAGTAAATGTATCACACAAAAATCCTGATCCTAATCCTTGGCCTGTAAACCTACCCAATAAAGTGTATATCCCCATGCAGGGCAAAGCAACAGGTTTGCTTAATGTTTAATCTCTCCAGCTGAACATATTTACCTTCTTTTTTACTTCCCTGTGGTTCTGTTCAGCTACCAAGGGAAAACAGAGTATACCTTCTGTAAGCTGTATGGTAAAATAAATTACCAAGCACCAATGCTAACATCACAGAAGTACCAGGTATTTCTATTCACTCCAAACGGCTAAATGCAGCAAGGAGGGAGTAAAGAGCAGATGAGGATATGTTGCTGAGGAGAGGGGCAGGTAAATGAACTGGTTGCTTTGCTGCACGAGCAAACGTATGCTTGAACATACCTATAATCATTTGTATTCATGCCAATACTGATTATCATTTTGGTTGAACTAGTGCATTTTTTTTACCGGATTTCAAAAAAACCATTGCTAAATTTGCATATAGGGACTTGTTTAAAATGTTACTTTAAAAATATAATGAAAGGTGGATTAGGCAAAATACTATGTTGGCTTTCAGGAAAAAACAGGAAAAGTATTGGGACATCACCCCAGTAATCTGAAAGACTGACCATTTTGCTTCAGAACACTTCTGGATAGCTTCTAAACACTAGACTAATACTTTCTCTGCAATTTGATATTGCTACATTATAAAACTTTTACTGGTTTGGTGGCTGCAACAAGTAACCTGACATGAAATGTCAAGGGCAATGAAATAATTACAGATTTTTTTTTTTATTTAGGGTTTTTAAAGTAGGTTTTTCCAAATCATGCTACAGCTGGAAAACAAAATCAATTGTAGTCACAAAAAGTTATATACCTATGTGCAGAGTGATCTAGTGCCCTGATCAATTTCCTGACCCTATATACATCTTTTACTTTGTCAGGTATTTATTCAGAAAAGAGTCAAATTCAAGCACTTTGTGTCCCTTTTATTTTTATTTGTTCAGTGAGTCGCACTGAAGTTCCAAAGATCCAGTACAGTACTGGGTATGTAAACTCTCGTCATACTGGGTAACGCAAGAACCTGTTTGGTATGCACATTCGCCAACCTTGGTTTCAACTCCAGGCACAAGACAGCACATGAAAGGAAAAATAAAAAATAGAACATTTCTTCTTCAACAGTTTTTAAACAAACAACATAAGTTAGCACCATAATCAGCATCTGATAACAATTTTGGAGTAATTACAAAATACATAGATGGAGTGATAAGTTTTAAACATTCTAAAATGGGAAAGCTACCGCATTACAGTTCATGTGTTTCCTTGAGTCTTTTTTTTTTTTTTTTTTTTTTTTTATATCCATATCTACACAGTCCATGGATACAAAAGAAGCATGCATTATATCTCCCGTAGGTAGCAGTTTGTGTGGGATATGTCTGACAGTAACTAGTGGTGGTTTATCCACAGTGAAGCACTGCCACTGATGAACAAATATATGAAAAAAATAGCACCACAGGAAAATGAACATAGCACCTATGTCTGACAAGATTCACCCCACTACAAGCAACCTCCCGCTTTGTGACAAGGTAGGAGGTAAAAAAAATAGAGGTTATAACACTGTACAATAATTAGCAACTTATTAGGCTGTTTTGAACCTTGTTACAAGTATATTTCATTGCACTAATCATGTGGAAAGGAGCCCATCCAAGAAGTATAATTTAGGCTCTTTGATCAGCAAGAAGTGTTGCCAGTATATGTGTCAGCTGTATGCACTTTCTTATATCAAAAGGCATACACTTACACTAGTTAAAAAAATAAAATACAAATCCTTACTCAATCAAACATTTTTTACAGCTTTTCCAAGACTTAGCCTGCCAAAAAGGAAAACAGACAAAAACAGCACAATTACATAGTGGTTTGTGTTATTTATTTGTAAGTTGTGTGTTTTGGGGATTTTTTTTTGTTAGAATGACAACATTGCACATTAAAAGTCACCATTCTGCTATTTAACAAGATAAAAATATGATTTTGCATATAGTGTAAATTGCTGACAAACTAATTTTCTTAAGATTTGTAGATTGCAATTTTTAAAACTTAGGGGAAAAAAACGTAGGCTCGTACCACATGCAGGTAGCTTAAAATCTGTTTTCATAAAAAATGTACATGTTGCCATGAGTTTGCCAGTTTTTGCCTGTTATAAGCCTGGTTTACAAAACCAGACCACATGCATGATTTAAAGCTAGGGTAATGAAAATTAGATTTCTTGTAACCTTTAATAACAAACAAAATAATAATAATAATATACAATACAAATAATTACATACAAAAATATAAGCACCTTTAATACAAAGGGACAAGGCAGGCACAGTGACATTTGCTTCCATGTGAAAGACCAACTTATAAATTTTAGAGTGGTGTAAAAAAAAAAAAAAATATCAGTCCCCTCAAATTGGTGTCTGGTAGGATGATCTTTTTTAAGCATCTCTGTCACTTGTAGTGATATTCTTTTTTTACATGCGTCTTAGAGAACATTCAAGAGGTTTGTGCATGGATAGAGGACATGCTTTGTCAGGAGTCGTGCTTCTGATGATTGTCACGTGATGCTGTTTAGGTCATGTGATACCAAGGCAGTAGGCAATAAGTGATTTTTTTTTTATTTTCTCCCTACTAGATCTGTGATCCAGGCATAACTCTTTGCCTGTGGCATATTTTGGGGTTCAATTCTTCACCTTTGCAGTTGAGAATGTGCAAGTGAAGACTTGATAAAATGGTGATGAGGTTTCAAGGTTGTTCATTTGGAGAATTGGCATTCTGGTATGCTATTGGCCTCTTTTTTTCTTGAAAAATATGTGTACTTATGTAATTTTACATTTTTGGAGTGTCATTTTAGCCTAGGAAACATACTGGTCCCACTTCAAAGCCAAATTTTTGTGTTGGGTCTCCAAAGTCATTGAACATAAGATCCACTATAGGAGCTTGCTCCACCTTGGGGGTATTGAGTTCCAGGATGGTTTTCTGGTGGCCCTTCTTTGACTGGAAAAAGAGAGGGAAATGAGAACAATAAAATCAGGAGCTGCAGGCAATGAAACATTTCTGGAGTTCTAGTACAAAACCATACCAAAACTCATTTGTGTTTAAACTAAAAATGTATCTAAACCCAAGAACAAACATTTAATATATTGCAGCTTACCAGCCTTTAGATGTGGTAGCTGCATTCATTTTCCTTTCTCTGACTTTTTTCCCCATTATTTCCACCTTGCAATCTAGTTAGTATCACACTTTCTGTCCTAGAGTGATGATGCTCACTTACAGTACTGTATCTATGGAGGAGCAGCATTGTCACCTTAGAATGTTTCTTGTATGCATAGTGTGTGTAGAAAAGGTCATTGTAGTCCCCATCTGGGAGTCTATGTGACAAGGTGATAATGCAGGAGCCTAACTGAGAGAAAAAGCATGGTAACCCTATACAAACTGGTACAAGCCTTTATGGCAGGATCTGGATCCACCAATTATTATTGTAATGAAACATTTAACATATTAACTTCAAACATTCCTTTTAAAGTTACAATGTTAAAGCTTATGTGATATTTTAGTGTTTGAAGTTCTGCTTTAATAGTTATATTAAGCGCTAAAGTATATTTAAACCCAGTCATATATATATATATATATATATATATATATATATATATATATAATATATATATATATATATATATATATAAAACAGTCCAATAAAATATTAAATAAAAACTGTGCAATATTCAGCTGCAATTCAGAGATTTTCCCAGCAGTTCTTTTTTCCTGTAGCTCAATGTCCTCAGTTTAAGCCAGCATCATTCAACCCACATGCTCTGAGCCAGGTTGTCCTTGACCCACTGCAGCTTGTAACTGGACTGTGTGAGGAAAAGTAGCACGGTGATAAACTCATCTCTTTATCAATTGCCTCCTATCACCATACTTCTTGTCAGCACATTAATTAACTGGCTCCTTGTACTCCTTCTCCCTCTCACACTCCGACTGCTGGCACATTAAAATACATTCAATCACGTATTAGTGATTATAGACGTGTATTATTTTGTGCTTTTATATCTTCCTGGAGTTCAGCTTTAACCTAAACCTTTATTATGCCACTCAAATCTTAATCTCCAACATTAAGCTATCTTGTTCTGTGACAGACACCAAATGATCCCAGTTCCTGTGCCAAAAACAAGTGCCACCAAGATGCCAGTGTCAAAACAGACTCATAGTTTCCACTAAGAAAGCCCTTTACTAAGTCGGATGACCCTGTATTTTTATGAGAATGTGCTTGTTGCCTTGCAAAACAATGAGACAGTGTGTCCCCCTGAAGTCAGACACTTTGAGCAATTGCCCCTCCTTGTGCCTTAGTATAAACAGTACAATATAATTTGAAGTCCGCTAACTGAACCAGGTGGTCTACTTTTTTTCTATCATGCATTTACAAAATATATGGTTCAGACACTGTTTTCTAATCCTACCTCTACTAGTACATTATCTTTTGTCATGCTAAAATTGAAAGTGTTGTTCTGGGACATAGAGTTTTGGCACCCAACATTTTATACCTGAACAGGGATGTGCAATTTACATCACCTGATGCCAGAGACATGTAGTACCGAGCAGGTAGTTTAGTATAACATTTAGCCCTGCTGCAGGCAAGAAGCAGGGCTTACTTGTCAGGTGGAATCATTCAGGAAGCTGCGCTGCTTCCTGAGTTCTTAAAAACACAGCGCTAAAGCGCCAGCTCTGGACCCCCATGCATCCACCTCCATAAGCATAGAGGGAGCCGACTGGTAGAAGGGAGGGAGGAGTGTGGACACGTCTGCTCTCCTCCCCTGACCATGAAGCCACGTGTATGATGTCACTTCCAGGTCCCTGTTGACAGATTTCCGAGCCAAGTACCGACATCCTTTGTGGATGTTGGCTAGTAGTTCTCAATGAACTATCATGGCGCTGTTGAGCTCTCTGGTAGTTCAATGAGTCTTCCTGTCAGTGTGACAGTCTGCAGGAGATCCAGTGATCTGCTGAACACTGGTGCAAAGCTTTCCCACATTTTTTTTTCTTTTTACCTGCAAAAAATTGACTATTATTATTATTATTATTAAGGTGAATTTATCCTGTAATGGAGCAGACACAGGAGCTTGATTTGGCTGCTCAGCATGTGCTTGTACTGAGCACCCAAGTGCTTCTGGGTGTGAGGGTAACCTGAAGGAATAAAGTTTTTTTTTTTTTTTTCCTTGGGGCCAGTGCCTCATTTACTCGCTCAGCAGATGTGCTTCTGCTGAGTGTTACGAGAGCCCAACACTCCCCTCTTTCCTGACGATCACCCAGTCGGTGCTCATTACATTGTAAGGTCTCTCCCCTCACTGCTAGTCCCTGGGTGTGGTGCTGGAGACTGGCAAGGAGGTGAATAGGAGATGAACAGCACAATTTTAAACATATTAAAAGATGAATGTGCAGTTCCACTCAAAAGCGGAAACTCAGCTTATTTGCCTCCTCTCCCCTCCACTGCCATACTTCGCACCTATTGGGGGGGAGCGGGTACTTGGATTTGACAGGTACCCGCTCCCACTTCCAGCTAACTCCACCCCAGTGAAGTGAGATGGAAGTTCAGCCTCCTCCTTCCTCCTGCAGTCTCCTGGGAACTTTCACAGGTCCCAGGAGACTGCCAGACCAATTAGGAAGCGCAGCGTGACTCTCATATGCGCAGTGGGCACTAGGCTGCGAAACCACAGCCTGGTGCCCACAATTGAGAAATGCCGGCACCATGAAGGAAAGAAGGGGAGAAGGGACGGCGCGGGTGAGTACATCGCTGGACTCTTGGACAGGTAATTGTGTGTTTATTAAAAGTCAGCATCTACAAAAACTGTAGCTGCTGACTTTTAATAAACACAAAAATGGCTGGAACCCTGCTTTAAGTTGCCATGAAGCCCATTTTGTTTTAAAAAGCCCCAGACATTCCTAAAAGCACCTCAGATTTAAATATGTTTTTGGTTAAAAAAAAAATGTTATTTTATTTTTTTTCAGGACAAGTAGATTGTCATGAGGGACAAGAAGACTGGGACCCTGATTTATTCCTTTGGACAAGTAGTTTTTTCAAAAAGTTCCACATCGCTGCCTGAAAAATTATTGTTTCACTTCTCAAAAAGGTATTTCTTAAGTTACACTCAACACAACTCCCCCCTCAGATTAACCAATAAAATGTAGTCTGAGCATAACTCGCAGAATAAGTGGAGTGATTTTGCTGAAGCAGAAACTCTTACATTGAAAGTGTGTTTCTTAGAGGCATATTTAGGAAGTTTAGAATATTTAATTCAGTCTTGTAATCTGTTTTTTTTTTATGCATTTGATCATTGTGTGTACGGTTCTTTTTAAGTTTTCCATTTTTACTTTTTTCCACTAGAACAGGATCTAGTTAAAAAGAGCTTCTTCACTCAGGATCCACATCAAGCCAAATGCATCCTTAACAACCCACTAAAAACCACCTTTATTTCCCTCTTTTCATTGACTCCATTGTACTTCTTCAAAATGATATTTCTGAGAAATTAAAAAAACTTTAATTTCGCTCAACACCATCTGAAATTATACCCTGCAGCCGTTATCAAATCAAGAATAGTTTGAGACCTAATGTCTGACATTGAAATACAGGCCTTGCTCTATTCCTTTTTTCTTTTCTTTTTTTTCTTTTTTTGCAAGTTGAAAAAATTGGCTTTTAAGTCATTAATTTGTGACCACAAAAAAAATAAATAAATAAATAAAATGGAAAAGAAGAGGGATGGAACAATAGAAAAACCAATCCTCTTATAAGCACCCACCCACTTCCCAGAAGTTAACAGAAGTCAGTCATCAAATGGGGGAAATACATTTTCCATAAATGAATTGTGGTATTTCCAGGCCGGGTGGGACTCACCATTTTCCACTTCGCTGAATATAGATAAAAATCCATAATGAATAAAAGTAGTACACTAGGCTTCTGCTCTGAGAAAACATTCCCCAAACCGTAATCGTTTGCTATTGATAATTTTTTTTTTCTCCCTGTGTCAAAACTAATAATCCTTCTTGTGTTTCTCATAGCAGCCTGGCAGGCTGAATCACTGCGCTGATCAATAGTTTTCTGCATTACCGCCAGCCAGACTGAATGAAGATAGAGACATCTCATCAGAATTAACTCTGTGTCAGTGGAACACAGAGACCAATTGCAGTGACGAGGCTTAATGCTGCTTTATTAATCTGAGATAAACTGCCTTTAAGACCAATGATGTTCAGTCCTTGACACTGTTCTAAATTGTATGTCAAAATGACATGCACCTTTTATCTCTGCAATGGAAATTTCTTAGTCACTTACTGCACAGCCGTCCATGATGGCTATAATGTAAGGGTTGTTGTCATAAGACATCTCTTCATCGTTTGATCCCAAGAAACGGATGGCTTTGTCATAGCTGTCAATGGTGGCGTCGTGCCAAGCCACAGACTGGTAGCAGCTATAGGTGATGTTCTGCCTGGCAGCAGCACTGAGCAACCTCAGGAATGTCATCTGTACAACGCCGATTGGGTTTCCATCAGAATCCACATAGGACAGCTGAGAAAATAAAAATTACACAGAAATATACACTGTTTTCTGGGGGAAAGATGTGGTCTTTGCTATCACAATTTTCCCCTGTGCTTCAGGATAATGTACCGCCTACTGTAAAGCTATTTGTGGTAATCTCAGTGCCATGGTATATGACACAGACAGCCGCTTGTTTTTTAAATTTATAAAACTGCGACATGAATCTATTGTATGGGCATGTATCAGGAAATACAGCAGGTAAAATATGTCTTGAACATATCACCATTTTTCTCAGTAATTATGTTTCTAAAGGTGCTATTGACATGAAATTTTCACCACATGTTGGTAACAACCCATGCAATCCATACATAGTTACATAGTTGGTATGGCTGAAAAAAAAACTAAAGTAAATCCAGTTTAAGCATACAAACATTTTTTAAAAAAGTTATCCTACACCCCCAGTTGATCCAGAGGACGGCAAAAAAACTCAGCAAAGCATGATCCAATTTGCTCCTTCAGGTGAAAAATTTCTTTCCTGATCCCCCGAGAGGCAATCGGATATTCCCTGGATCAACTTTACCTATAAATGATGCAAAGAATATAACTGGTTACAAAGAATATAACTGGTTACTAAGAAAGAATCCAGCCCTTTTTTGAAAGCAATCCACTGAGCTGGCCAGAATCAACTCTTGACATACATACATACATACATACATACATACATATATACAAAGAAACCAAAACAATTAAGTTCAGAAATTAAGTTATGTGTAATAAAATGGAATGACACAGGGAAAAAGTATCGAACATGCTACCAAAATTTATTTAATGCTTCCTACAAAATCCTTTGTTGTAATGACAGCTTCAAGACATCTCCTGTATAGAGAAACTAATTGCATGCATTGCTCAGGTGTAATTTTAGCCCATTCTTCCACACAGTCTTCAAATCTTTAAGGTTCTGTGGGCCTCTTCTGTGATCTTTCTTTTCATAGAAGGATTCAAGTCAGGTGATTGGCTGGGCCATTCTAACAGCTTTATTTTCTTCCTTTGAAACCAGCTGAGAGTTTCTTTGGCTTTGTGTTTGGGATCATTTTCTTGCTGAAATGTCCAGATGGCAGCAGATTTTTATCAAGAATGTATTTTCCATTCATCCTTCCTTCAATGACACAAAGTTTGCCAGTACCATATGCCGAAAAACAGCCCCACACCATTATGTTCCCACCTCCATGCTTCACTGTTGGTATGGTGTTTTTGGGGTGATGTGACCTCCAAACATGGTGAGTATTATGGCATCCAAAGAGTTTAATTTTGGTCTCATCTGACCAGACTGTATTCTCTTCATATTTCACAGGCTTATCTAAATGTTGTGAAGCAAACTTTAAACGAGCTTCAACATGCTTTTTCTTCAGCAATGGAGTTTTGCGTGGTGAGGGTGCATACAGGCCATGGCGGATGGGTGCATTACTTATTGTTTTCTTTGAAACAATTGTACCTTCTAGTTCCAGGTCTTACTGAAGCACTCCACAAGTGGTCCTTCGCTCTTGGACAAATCTTCTAATTCTTTTCAGTCCTCTGTCAGAAATCTGCACCTGGTCATGGCCAGTTTATGGTGAAAAGATTGTTCTTTCCACTTCCAGATTATGGCCGCAGCAGTGCCCAGAAGCTTAGAGATCCTTCTGTAATCAATGCCATCAGTATGTCTTGCAACAGTAAGGTTGTGAAGGTCTTGAGAGAGCTCTTTGCTTTTACCCCTCATGAGGTGTTTCTTGTTTGATACCTTGGTAATGAGACACCTTTTTTATAGGCCGTCAGTTGAGACTGAAACAGCTGGTATTAATTTGCACTGACAAGGGGCAGGATTGCTTTCTAATTACTGATAGATTTCAGCTGGTGTCTTGGCTTTCCATATCTTTTTGCACCTCCTTGTCTTCATGTGTTCAATACTTTCTCCCTGTGTCATTCTATTTTATTGCACATAACTCAATTTCTGAAATTATTTGTTTTGGTTGCTTTGTATGTATGGATTGATTGGGTTGTTACCGACGTGGTGAAAATTTCATGTCATTAGCGCTTTTAGAAATATATTTACAGAGAAAAATTGTGACGTGTGCAATACTTATTTTACCCGCTGTATAACATCTGTATCTGTGATACTGTACATGGCTCATACCCCAGCTTTTTTAAAGCTCTTGATCACTTTATTGTAAATAGGATGTCTAACGGGAACCAGTCACAGCAAAAGCTTTGGACTAAAACTATTTTAGTGGCAGTAATGGCACTCACTGCAAAGCTGGATAGGTTAAAATAATGAGTGGCTGAATATACACTGATGGGCTGGAAGAAGAAGGTACTTGGCTAAGTGTCATCATTGTAGTTATGTCCATTAAAACTCAGAAGAGCAGAGATTATGTCACTGACAAGTATCTGCAGAACTGTCACTCTGCTTATGTTATTCAGCCATATAGCATAGGATGGGGAGATTTAAAAATCATTTGGCAGGTAAAATAATTGCTATGTTTAGCTTTTAAAGAAGCCCTGAAACCTGGTGTGCTCTTTTCTGATCCTGCCCCACACTATTGTCCTGTCACTGTGAGTTGTGTATTTCCTAACCCCAGTTTCATGCTCTGTCATAGAAATAGAATTCCAGTCTAAAATATTGTCCTGTAAACTTCAATAGTAGACCTCCTCTTCAAAACGCTAGTGAGCTGGCTGTAATTTTGTAGCAATTAATGCTTTTTCAGCCACTGACCCAGAGTTCTATCTTCTGTTATACTGCATACATGTGCAGGGTCGGTGACTGTTATTAAGCCAGACAACAAGGGGTTCAGCAATGGCAGCCCCTGTATTTCTCTGGAAATGTGTTTTTTACTGTGTCTTTCAACAGATTACAACCAATTCTGACAAGTTTGTTTTTAAATAGCATCTAGCACAACCATATCAAATAATAGTCTACAAAATGCAAAATTAACAAAAAAGAGAAGATACAAACCTGGGATCGTACTGGCTCCTGAGCAGGACACATGACTGACCAGGAGAGAAAAGGCATGCAAATGGTAGATACAGCCGGCAACATGTACACTCCAGAGTCATGTGGCCTCTGCAGTGGAATTCTGTCTCTGTGCATACTAGACCTATCAAAGTACTGAGTTCATCCTCCCAGTGCAGTGTGAGAAAATGTCTGGGAAAAGCTGACTGGTTACTAAGTTCATAACGAACTGTTCATATTTTGGATTAATGGTATTTCTGTGCAAAGTCACCATTTCTTGCCATTGCCTTTTCATATAATTACTCACAGTCACCTGAATAAGGCACATGGAAGGAAAATATAATTTATCAAAGTATGGTAAGGGAGCCCATCATGATGGATACTATTTGTTGCAACCAAGACTCCTATTCAGTTGCCGGAATCTGTGATAATCTCAAGAGTTGACATTGTCACTATGCTGCCCTGGAGTTGCACTGTTTCTAGGAATAAGGCAATGGCACTATCTAGATCAGGATGGAAGCCTATGCTGGGTCAAGTTTTCTTTATGTTGAGGAGAAAGGTGGGTGGTTGGAAGATTCAGTTGGTGTAGAATCATTCATGCCTCTGTCACATCAACAGAGGATGCATTGTCTCAGTCTACATGGTGTATAACCCTGCCCTTCAAACATGCCTAATGCTGGCAATCCCTGTTTTAATCACTGCTGTACGAGGACACACTGCTTTTTCCCCTCTGTTCAGCCACTAAATGTTTGGGAAGTGCATACAATAAAGGCACTTTTCCTTCTGTGCATGTGAGACTGTCCAGTTATCCCTTGCACAGAGATGTTGCAAACTCTTCACATGCTTTCTATTTTAAATGCTTTTGAATGAGGAGGTTGTGTCTACTGATGGTGGTAATAGAGAAAATACTATTCCATCCCAGAATTCCATGCTGTGGCACCAGAGTTTGCACAGGGGTTGCCGGCTGTCTCTTTAAATTAAACATGTTCCACAGTACCTGCAGTTAATTTAGCTTCAGTCTCCTAAGCGGGGAAGCACTGGGGAATTCAGGATGAAGTAGGCTTATAAGGAAATCGCTCAATAGCATAGAGATCGACATGAAAAAAAAGCTGGTTTGAAAGACACTGTGAAGTTAAGACACAGAGGGCCACTGATTCCAGTGAGAGGGGTGGGAGGGAGCTGGAAAATGTTGTACTTCAAAGCAGCCACCCTAAGCTGAGCAGAGTACCTATGATATGGGAAGCAGAGGAGGAGGAGGGGGGGGCTGCATTCATCATTCCTTCATGACCGCTAAACCAGGCCGACCGTCTGCTTCTATGCAGCATGTTCTGATTCCTTCTCTAGCTGACTGTAAACAAATACAGCTCACTCGCTGGACACATAATGCTGTTTTACAATGTGTAAAACACACAACAGAACAAAATACTGTGTCTGCTATGTGCAGCTTGCTCATGGAGGGCCAGTTATAAACACTGGAGGAATTAGTCTTAAAGAGAAAATGTCACTTTAGAATTGGATTCTTTTTTCTGTCATTTTGATGCAAGTTATAAACCCTACAAATATCAAAAGCTTAACCCATCAATTAGCCTCACCATTCCTGCTTTGACTTATACACAGCACTGGCTGAAGGAGGGAGAAAAGTGTCCGGTAGGAGGAAGATTTCAACAGGATGATCATAGCATGCCAAACTAGCTGCCACAGGAAAAACTAGCTCTGAAAATAACCACTTTTGAGAGAGAAAAAATTCTAAATTGCATGACTTTCATCAGATACTTTAATAGACTGGGTCCTTTTAGGCAATTTGGTGACTAGCTAAGAATACAAAAGTGCAGAACCTGACTGGCTAGGGGATGCTGGGATATGCAGTTCATCAACTACTGAAAGACCATACAACAATATCTGGACAAATTTGGCATGTATAGTGACAGTTCTTAGAAAAGTTTCTGGGCGTGCATTAACCATTTCTGAATCCCCACCACTTCCACCATATGTGTGAAAACACATCAGGACCACGCCAAATTTATTCCCTAATATATATAGAGGAGGAAAAGAGTATCCCAGTGTACGACACCCAAAGGTTTTGGCAGTACTAGAACTGAGCTACCCAATCTTGTATTAAGGAAATATTTCCATAATATGCTATGCCAATATGGATATTTGGGTAAACATGGATTTATAGTGACAAACAGCTTAGGTTACATTACTGGTGTGCGTTGTCATGAAGAGCTCATAGGTACCATATATATAAGATGTCCATGCCTTGTCATACAGGCAGAGCTTTCCTTGAAGGAAGCCAATGCAGGAATAGCCCCACATACTTATAGATTGTGTGGATCCCTGCACCATAAATACCCAGAGGAAACAAGTGTTTTAAGGTAGATATTTTGGATAATTTGGATTTTGAAGAATGGCTGTGATAATACACAGATTATTCATGATTTATTGGGATGGATCCCAAGTTACTGTTGCATTTCTGCTGTAGCTAGAGACAATTATTCAGTCTTTTTCACAAGAGAACCTAACATGTTATGAAAGGCTGCAGATGGAATTGTTTCTTGTTGTATCTGTGTCTACAATATCAGATGTGATTTGAAACACAAATATTTTAGTTCTGTACTGCATTTCTGCATTTTTTTGGAAAGTTCTATCACATCAAGATGTTGTGTTAAAGTATCCTGTTTCAATGGGCCTTTATTTCTGTAGCTGAACTATTTTGACCACTGTAAAACACCACAATATACAGTTCCTTTACATCTGTGACACCGAAGAGCAGGTGCATTTCTTTGAATTCAGTATATTTGGGGTTGTAATTTATATCACATGCATTCACCATAACATGTGTGATAATAGAGCCTAAGAAAGTGATAACAGCAGATAGAGCTCTATGTACAAAATTATTCAACCCCCACTGAAATTGAGTGTTTTGGCCAGTTTGACTTGCTTTTGATCATTCAGTCATCTTGCTTACATTTACATTAAAGAGGCACTTGTAGGTCAGTAACTAACAGTTATAATGAAATAACCACAATGTGATTATCAGTTTTATTCAACCCCCAAGTGACATTCAATCTTAGTACTTAGTGCATCCTTTTACAGTTTAACAGCTTTTAAACGTGAAGCATAGCTTGACACAAGTGTCTTGCAGCGATCTACGGGTATCCCATTCTTCATGGGCAAAGGCCTCCAGTTCAGTCACATTCTTAGGCTTGCGCACTGCAATGCTTTCTTTAAGTCCCACCAGAGGTTTCAATTTTGAAGTCTGGTGAGCGATGGCCACTAAAGTTTCCTCTGCAACCATGCTCTAGTGGACTTGGAGGTTTATGCTTGGGATCATTGTCTGTTGAAAGGTCCAAGTCTCCCAAGCCTCAGGTGTGTGACGGACTGTTTTGGTTGAAGAGAATTCATGGTACCTTGCACACGCTGAAGCTTCCCTGTACCTGCAGAAGCAAAACAGCCCCAAAGCATGATTGACCCTCCACCATGCTTCACAGTAGGCAAGGTGTTCTTTTTCATCATAGGCCTTGTTCTTCCTCCTCCAAACATAGCGTTGATCCATGGGCCCAAACAGTTCTAATTTTGTTTCATCAGTCCACAGAACACTATCCCACAACTATTTTGTGGTTTGTAATGGCTTTTGGCATACTGCAGTCGACTCTTCTTATTCTTTGGAGACAGCATACGCCTGTTCTGGCACGGAGGCCTTCATGGCAGTGTGTCTTATTGTCTGCTGAAACTTCTGTACCCACATCTGACAAAGTCTCAGTTCCTCAGCAGTTCACACGGGGACTTCTCTCCACTTTACGCTTCAGGTAGCGCATATACGAAGTCAGTATAGCGTTTCAACAGTGCCCTTTGCCTTGAATTTGCGGTGATGCTTCCTAAGGTGTCTCTTGGTATTTTTAACATCTTTGCAATCTTCTTATAGCCATTGCCCTTTGTGAATCACCTCTTCTCTTGTCTTCCTGGACCCATTCTCTTGCCTTCATTTGTAACCACACCAGTAAATGTCTAGAAGGAGCTGAGTATCACTCATTTTAACATGCCTATTGGTGCTTTGATTATGCTTGATTGCTGCTCGGGTGACATCCACAGGTGTTTTCAATACCTGATGGAAAGCACCTGTATAACCTCTGTTCTTCAGAGTGGTAAAGGGTAATAATTGTGGCCCCACATAAGAACCATTTACTACTGTATTACATAAACAATTGATGTATTTTAGTTGCATTTGGGTAGTTATAACGTCCTTGTAGGAGATTCTGAATACAATCCCCCTGTACACTATAGTAAACCCCTTTTACAGCATTGGGGGTTGAATAATTTTGGACACAACTGTAAATCTGCTCTAAATAAGGAAACCTATCTTAGCCTAAAATATTCATCCTGTTCTGAGAGCGTTCCTTTAATGGATGAACAGATGAATAGTACCTTAGGAAATTGTGTAAATAGTTGCCAGATTTGACATTTCTTCATTTTTAACAATTAGTTTCCATGTTCTTGTGTAATGTAATCAGGATGTTTTAATAAAATACAGTGGGGAAATTAATTATTTGATCCCCTGAAGATTTTGCCTACTTAAAAAATATAGACCCTTCATTTCTTTGTATCAGAGGTATATTTTAAATGATAGAGACAGAATATCAACCAAAAATCCAGAAAAAACACATGATACAAATGTTATTTTACTCACTGAACTGCAACTCAATTTATAAGTATTTGATCCCCAAAGCAAAACATGACTTTGTGCTTGCCAAGAAGGGTTTCTCCAAGTACTGAGGTAAGACGTTTCTTGTGGTTGGTTACCAGGTTTGCACATATCTCAGGAGGGATTTTGGTCCACTCCTCTTTACAAATCTTCTCTAAATCCTTAAGGTTTCTTGGCTGTCACTTGGCAACTTGAAGTTTCAACTCCCTCCATAAATTTCCTATAGGATTAAGATCTGGAGACTGGCTAGCCCACTCCATTATCTTAATGTGCTTCTTCTTGAGCCACTCCTTTGTTGCCTTGGCGGTATGTTTTGGGTCATTGTCATGCTGAAAGACCCATCTTCAGTGTTCTGGCTGAGGGAAGAAGGTTCTCATCCAAGAATTTACAATACATGGCACCATCCATTGGCCCCTGAATGCGGCAAAGTCGGCCTATACCTTTAGCAGAGAAACAGCCCCACAGCATAATGTTTCCACCTCCGCGCTTAACTGTAGGGATGTGTTCTTAGGGTCATAGTCAGCATTTTTCTTCCTCCAAACATGGTGAGTTGAGTTCATGCCAAAGAGCTCAATTTTGGTCTCATCTGACCACAGCACTTTCTACCAATCCTTCTCTGAAGTTTTCCAATGCACATCTAAATGTTTCAGATGGGCCTGTACATGAGCCTTCTTGAGGAGGGGGACCTTGTGGACACTTCAGGATATCAATCCATTGCGGCGTATTGTGTTACCAATGGTTTGTTTGGTGACTGTGTTCCCAACTGCCTTGAGATCATTCACAGGCTCCTTCTGTGTAGTTCTGGGCTGATCCCTCACTTTTTTCATGATCATCCTTACCCCATGAGGTGAAATCTTGCATGGAGCTCCAGACCGAGGGCGATTGATGGTTATTTTGTATTTCTTCCATTTTCGAATAATTGCTCCAACAGTTGTCTCCTTCTCACCAAGCTTCTTGCTGATGATCTTGTAGCCCATTCCAGCCTTTGTGCAGGTCTACAATCTTGTTCCTGATGCCTTTCTTCCATTTAAATCTCACCATCATGGGCAAAGAGGTTCTGTGGACATGTGTATTTTAAACACATAAGAAGTTGTTAATCTGTGTGCCACATGAGCACATAGCTAGTCTGTGGGAGCCAGAATTATTGTTTGTTGATAGGGGATCAAATACTCACTGAACTGCAACTCAATTTATAACATTTGTATCATGTTTTTTTACTGGATTTTTGGATGCTATTCTGTCTTTATCATTTAAAATACACCTATGATAAAAAATTATAGACCCTTAATTTCTTTGTAAGTGGGCAAACTTACATAATCTGCAGAAGATCAAATGATTATTTTCCCCACTGTAAATTATTAAATTACCTAAGGGCTCACAGTCTAACAATAAAACATTTTCCTTCATTCCCTGTTCTACATACTATAGCTGTCAGTTTGAATACCTCTTGCAATAACTGGTATTCAGCCTCAGTGGGTGTCCATATTTTTCTATTAGGACAGAAAGGGTAGCCAAAATGACTCATTAGCCAAACATGCTGTACAATTGTGTTCCACTAGAGAGCTTCAAGCAAACTGGGCAAGTAGGGAAGATGGTAAAAATGTGATTCTGATGTATAGTGGGCTAATTTTACCAATGTTTTAGACCTTTAAACACAGTAACTTGGGATCATCCTTAAAAATAAGAACTGTGTCTGCTTTAGTGTTGACTGATTTGTGCTTGGTTTGTGGACTCCTTTCAACTGTTGGAAAGTGTTTTTTTTTTTTTTTTGCTTTTTTTTTAACCCAATCTTCTCCAAGTCCACCTTAAATTTGTTTTTTCCGGGTAATCCAGAAACACTATTTCCCCCACGACTAGTGTTAGTAAGACATGCAGAGTGGTTTGGCCATAACCGAAGCAGGATCCGTGCTCTGGTTCAAGACTGAAGGCCGGGTTAGCCACTTACCATAGACCCTCGCTTGTAATGGCTATACCATGTACCAGGCACCTCTTTGGGCCAACGAGCCACTTTATTCTGTAAAATATGACATGGGTTACAGAGCTAGAACTGAAAATCTAAATCTTACCAGTTTACCACGCTTGAATTCACTGAACCAGGAACCCGGGTTCTCTTTGGGCCAGGAGGTAAGTCTAGCCTGAATTGTGAAAGGGAAAGGATATGGAGGAAATAAAGGGTTATACTTGAATTACAGCTGAACACCAAAAAGCCACATATCTCATATTGGCCTATCAAACACTGGCTGAGCTGAGCCAGGTCACACAGATTTTTATAATGCATTCTACTTACTGCAGAGATTCAGACCATTCTGATGCATTCTCCTTGCAAATAATACTAAAAAAGGTTCTCAAAATGTGTGTCAACCTTTTAAAATGTTCACTATATATATATATATATATATACACACACACACACACTATATTGCCAAAATATAGCTCCTGAGAGTTACCCATTCTTTCACAAATGTTTGTAGAAGCAGTCTGCATGCCTAGGCGCTTGATTTTATTCACCTGTGGCCATGGAGGTGATAGGAACAGCTGAATCCAATGATCTGGAGGGGTGTCCCAATACTTTTGGCAATATAGTGTGTGTGTATATATATATATATATATATATATATATATATATATATATAGCATTTACTGTAGATGCATTAGGAGAGCGATAGATAGAAAAAAGTCTATGATAGTAGTTCTGCAGCACCTCAAGTGATTTATTTTATTCCTTTCAAAATCCACAAAACTCACATGTGAAAAAGCCATGTGACATATACAACACTTTTGAAACGTTCACAGTCCTCACTCGAGCAAAGCATATATAGTGTATATATACATACGCACACACTCTGTGTAAGAGTATGTAGGTGTTGAAGCTGAACTCTGGGTAAAAGAAAATTACTCTTGCAACAGGGCTACTCCCTTCCCCACATACTGCAAGGAATAAAAGAACATTTTTGTCTGGTGTGGACATAAAAAGCGGTTATACTTACCTTATCCCTCACTCTTGCAGGCTTCCATCCAGCTGCATGATCGGTCCCTCAAAACCACTTCTCTTCACCGCTCCTTTGGTTGCAAGCACTTTGACATTACCAGGACCAGCAGTACTGCCTTGTGAGCAAGAACACTGAAAGTCCAAGTCACATAGGGGTTTATTTACTAAAGCTGGAGAGTCCAAAATCAGACTCCCTTCTGCATAGAAACCAATCAGCTTCCAGGTTTCATTACCAAAGCTTCATTGAACAAGCTGAGGTTAGAAGCTGATTGGTTTCTATGCAGAAGGGAGTCTGATTTTGGACTCTCCAGCTTTAGTAAATAAACCCCATATGGTCAGACAGCTGAGAAGAGCAGGAGCGTCCAGGGGAGCAAGAAATCGGGTAATTTTAACTGCTTTTTAACTTCTAGACAAAAATAAGCACCTCTAGGGTCACTTTTTATTTTACACAGAGTTCAATTTTAACACATTATGTCTATGTGGCTACAGGATCTCAGAAACTGCTGATATCGCTGATTTTCACATGCTACAGTCTGTAGATTTTACAAAGAATGACACAAAAAAAGAAAAAACATCCACCAAGCAGAAGCTTTGCAGGGAAAACACGTTCTTAATGGGAGAGGTCATAGGAAAATAGCTATGGACTTCCTGTCTGCCTGAACAAGTTTACCTGTTTAAATAACCTCCCTTTACTGGGGTGCTGTGCAGAAGGCTGTTTCTAAACATCCAGCATGAGGAACCTTGAAGATAACAGACCAGAGCTGCAAATGACCACACCAGGTCCTCTCCTGTCCACTATGAACAGGAAAATGGCTACAGGGAACACTGGATCACCAAATATAAAGGACTGAAGATTGGAAAAACATTGCTGATCTGACACATTTGGACTTCTGCTATGGCATGTACAGTAGAGGGAGGGTCAGAATTTGGCACAGCACGCTGCATAAATGCATGGATCTGGCCTGTTTGGTGTCATCAGTGCAGCTCATAATGTAATGATGTGGGGAATGTTTTCACACATTTGGACTTGAATGCCATTTAAATGCCATAGCGTACAAGAGTATTATCAATGACCATGTGCCCAATTTATTTACCAGAAAGGTCCACCTAAAATGGTGGCCACGGAGTATATACACATTGTAAAATTAATATAGTCTCCTTCTTAGTCTGCCAGCACTCAATAATCTTAATTGGCTGATTGCATTAAACAAATACAGATCCATAGGGCTATTAAATAAGTGTAATGGCTGCAGTGAGAGAGCTGACACAGGCAGAGCTATTAAATATTAATCCTGTGGGCTGCGAGGTATAACACAAGCCATTGTCTTAAGGTTTTCAGTTTCAACCATCACAATTACTTAACTGCTGCAAAGAAAGCTATAAGGGTATAGTCAACTATGCAGAGATTGTTCCATCAATAGATGATCAATAGGTTCCATCAATAGCTTTGCTATAGATGAGTTTTGGGTGCTGCATAGAGCCAGCCTATACAGATTACTGCTCTACTATGTTGACTAAGTTATTTAACTAAAATATTCATTACAAAAAAATCTTTTTTACAAATGTACTGGCTTCATAGCATTCAGAAAAAATCTCTCACACTACCTTATCACAGGATCTGTAGGTAATTTAAAGGTTTAGCCCACTCAAAAATGTTATTTTAGTTACAGGTTGACCTGGTAGGCTGAGTCAGCCTGTGGCTTCCTATGTGAAAATGGATACTCAGGCCTTGAGATCTTCCTACCATAATTCCCAACTATGTTCTTGTCCACTCAGGTGTTATGGGTGTTTTGGCTATATTAGAGTGCTCAGCTCCTCTCCATAATATACATGTAATAAAAATGTAGCAGGGATGGTGGGAGCTCTTTAATGTCACAGCAGGTGTGCAGGCCCAGGAACTCCAAGCAGATATCACTGATAGAATACCCAAAATATATAAAACACTCTCAGGAGAGTATAAAGCGCAACACCCATCTAAAATATAAATGGGTGAGGTAGCCCCTAAATAGCTTTCTGGTATTTTGAGTTTAAATAAAACTAAAATCCATAGTTGCTTGTTGGTGATAACTCACAGGTTCACATGTTCTTTACTTTTATTGTGGACTAGGACAATTAATGTGCTTTTAGGAAGAAAAAGAAATCTAAAATGTACCGCTACCTTTCACATACATGTATGTATTTCACATACATAAGCTTCATTAGCATTTAGTAAACGTACCATCCAAGGGAAATGTAAAAAATTTTCACCAGTCAATATGACCATCTAACATTATAAATTGTACCATTTACTTAGAAGTTATGACATTGTTTTAAGTAACAGCACTATTAGGCCTTGTTCACTGATCACAGGCTTGAACAGATAATTTGACCATCAGGTCTTGAAGTCTGCGTAGACTGCCTCAGGACAGACTAGATAACCTTTGTTTTTGAGAGCCAGTGTGCTGGGTCTCTTGTGGATATTCCCAGCTGGTGATATCGATGGAGAGGGCCTTGAAGTGTTGAACAGTATTAACACACACTTTGACTGTCCTCTGTTGCTGATTGCTTTGATCAGGTCCAGGCAGTCAATAGCTTAGACGTGAAGTGTCTGGGGAGAGGAGGCAATTAATTAAGTGATCTTAAAATACTGGACTCTCTGCCTTCCTTCTTTTGCCAAGTCTTGCTCGTGCCAGACATTTCAAGCCTTGCTAATGCCACATTCAAAGGAAGTTTACAGCACTTACTCCTTCAGACTTCTTGTCTGGAAAGATGCACGATTCTCCGCCTGCCGTAAAATTGCAGTAAACCTTAAATGAGTCCCGGGAGCAGCCCTGGTTAGGATCAATCCAATATTCACCTAGAGCAGAAGAGAGAAAAGCAGAGAGGCAGTCAACATTACCTTGTAGCTGAGGCATAAGCAGATACAAGCCACAATCCTCTCATTATGATAGCTTCAAATCTTATTGTTTTCACACTCTGCTTTTTTAAACACAGAAGCGCTGAGTAGTATGTATGAGATGCTTTGACTTGTGATTCCACTGTTTTCCAGATGGTGTTTGCTACAGCACCCACTTACACCCTGCCATTTCCAGGATTGTGTACGATGGAAATAATCTATGTGATGTGTTGTGTTAGAGTGCATTTTCAAGGTGCATTGAGATAGTATTCAAAATTAAATGCAACGCCGATCATCAGTTACCTTGGGCATTGCATTGTCATTTAATGGAAAAGTTGTGATTAGGAAGGGCTACTGTGGCTAAAATATTTCTGAAAATGCCATTTGCCCGGCTGTGGTGATGATACAGTGGCTTTGATACTTTGAAGTAGGAACTGACCACGCATCTCAAATATGTGACTCAATTGCTGTTCACTTAATTCGGCTATATGACTCACAGTATTAAAGAAAATGAAATGGATATTTCAAAAGGAGTGTTCAGCAATGGCAACCTACATATTTCTCTCATGTCATGTTTCATACTATTAGTGATTCTTGCTTCAGATGTATATTGGATAGTGTAGCATTTTTACGGTTTTGCCAGTGACTTCAATTGAGGTTGTGTTTTTATCATTCCAATGTAACTCACCATCGGGGAAGTCAGGGTGACAAAGCTGTAGGTCTTTGCAGGTTCTGGCAGGATTACCCTGAGTGCCCAATGGGTGTTTCATTTGTTCAATTTCCAGTTTTAGGGAGTTTAGAGAGCCAAAGATTTCCTCCATGCCATCTGCATAGTCCATGTAATTTGTGTCTGTATTTGCTTCATCCACCACTTGGCTGGCATCAATATTTCGCTTGGTTCTCTTTGATGACTGTACAGGAAGTGGCTGTATAACTCTCCGGGGGGGACCCTGCAAAAGAATTTGTTTATGACACTTATAGGTCTGTAACATACCAATTATTATTAACACATGTTCTGCTGATAGCTTCTGCAGATTACGATACATAAGCGTATTACTCACCGGAGGGCCTGGGGGACCGGGAATACCCATCTCACCCTTTGGACCAGTTGGACCCTAGAAAGGCAGACATTATTACTAGGGCTGTATAAATAGTAAAGACAAAATTATTATTATATAATATTACATATAAATCGGGCAGTTTAAGACCAAGAGAGATCCAGAATATTCTACTTACTGATGACCCTTTAGCACCTTTTGGCCCAGGACCACCCTGCAACAGAAATCACAACTGCTAATTACCACAACATAGATTGCTTACTTGCAAAGTAATCAAGAACTAATATAGATGTGGGAATATACATTTATTTTAAAGAAACCTACCGGCAATCCTGGAGGACCGGGAGGACCTACAGGCCCAGCTGGGCCAAAAATACCCTAGATGAAAAATGCAACTAGTTAGATAAATCATATTGATAATACCAAGGTTATTGTGTGGATTAAACCAGGACGTGCAGTCTTCTGGATTTTTTACATTTTCATATGCTCAGCCATGAACTGGGCAGAAACAGAGAGGCTGCGTTACCTGTTCTCCTTTCGACCCTTGAGAACCCTGAGGACCTGGTAGACCACGGTCTCCCTTTTCACCCTGTTCTCCCGTAGGTCCAATGAGACCAATCAAACCAGGATGACCCTAGCATGAAAACAGGAAGGGAGTAGTTAATGGGCTTGTATGGTTTTCCCATTTCATAAATGATTCACGAAAAGATGCAGGCTGACTGATGATGTTAATTTACAGGATTTAATTGTGTGAGAGCTAATTTCACAGAAAGTACAAAACAATTACACTGATTTCAATAATAAATTTATAGGAGAAAACAATGCCATTGCAGTAAACAGACAAATGTATAACCCATCAAGGCCGGGTATATTTCTCATGAGTAAAGGTTATTCCTAATAATATGCAAGAGCTCCTAATAGATGTTGAATAGTTTTGAGGAATGTTCTTTCCAGCACACAGAGAGATAAGACTTAAAGAAGGATTCTCTAAACAAGACTAGTCCAAGCAATTACTTTTATGGAGCAGAGATTTTTAGATATCTGAGAGCTTCAGAAAATAAGGTCAGAATCATTTTAGATTTCCTAATCCAGACCCAGAATTATATGTTATCTGCGTTGGTCATGCAAGCCCTAGCTCAAATATTTTATATAATGCAGCTCACTGGTTCTTTTTTTCTGGCTTTTTTCTTTTGTTTTCCACTGGTGATTCTGTCAGTAAACACCCTTCCTGTTCTAGGGTGAGCTATGAAGCAGCAGCTTGACACCTTAGGACAGAACTACAAAACACGAACCCTTCTCTTCTCCATCACATAGGGCATAGGTGTTCTGTAGTTCACAGAGATAGCTGGGAATAATGTGAATAACTATCAGCAAAGGCAGACAGCACAGGAAGTTCTCCACTCACAAGATTTGAAGATGCAGTAATGGGTATTGTTTGTTCTCTTATACATATAGCATTAAAATGTTTTGGTATATCTGTTCAACAAGTGCAAAGTTCATTATTAGGATTTACATACACGTTATGATCACTGGGTGTCCATGGGAGCCATGCCCAGTTGGTTCTACCAAAAGTACTCCTTTCATGCACTGTTGGGACCAGCCCAGCAGGTCCATCTCAATATAATATATGACTTTTGGCAAATACACATGCCAAGACCCAAATGTGATATACAACTAAAGAGTGTGTAGCTGAATTCTGTTGTCAGTAAAGAATGCCTCCCTCTCACCCTCCAGTCTCTGTCTAAAATATATATCTAATGTCGCCATAAATTTTTTAACGGTGCCATCCACCAGAACAGTTTCCACACTATCATAAGGGACACAATATATTTAGGATTGTGTTCCCACAATTGTGGATATTTCAGTTCAAGTTGTGGATCCTCTAAGTAAATATAAGTTTAGTCCCTAAAAGCTAATATAGTGAGTGTCTATTATTTTTTTTTGTACTTATTGTTTTGGGTGAAGTGAGGTAGGGTTTGACCAACCCCCTTCCCCCTTCCCCACAAAATTCGTACTGCTGTCTGTGATCACAATGTGGAGACCCCCTACTCTCAATTCAGTCATGGCTTCCAGGGCCCTTATGTGAGCGCTTGTTATTCTCTATGGACGAAATTCGGTGAATATTTAACTATTTAGAAGCCAACAATTAAATTGCTTGTTACAACCAAACAGTTTTAGAGGGCATACTGCACTGAAAGGCCACATTTCTCAGGGTCTGGAGCCTTCAATCCAGCCTTACTGGTGTAAGATTACCGCTATGCTTGCTTATTGAAAATGTCATCACAACCTACAAAACAGCACTCTCCATTGTGTACAGGAAACTGGTACTCTTATTTCTGTTTGGTGAGAAAATAGAGCTTACCTTTTCACCTTTTGGACCTGAATCCCCCTTTAATCCTGGCAAACCAGGTGGGCCCTATAAAAGGATTGATAATGTAATTTTAAACAGTTACTCCTATAATGCCAACTTTCCAACAGTCCTATTTATTTCTATAGATGCCAAGAACAGATAGAAAACACAGTGGGTTCTGGACCAAATATAACCAAAAGTACAATGAAAAAAATGACTATGTACCTGCAAGTACAACCACAGTACGATTTTAAAATATAAAATAAAGAGGAGACCATGACTACAGGGAACAGAAGGTAAAACAGGGAACAGAAGGTAAAACAATGTTATCTAAGATAAAATATTGCTGATAGTTCATTCTAGAGGAAGATTATATAGAAACCTAGACGTTCTAAGGAACCTTAATATCAACTTAATTTATCCACAGACTTCATAACTTGGAAAAATCTCCAAAAGAATGATCTACAATGGTATACAAATTAATATTTTTATAGTGACCTTTTTTTATTATATTTTTCTAGGTTTTCCTTACCATTCAGTTAGGCCATGCTAATTAATAAAAAAGGGACACCAAATCCCAGTCATCTTTGATCTCTTTCATGCTGTTCAGGTAGATCTCTATCTCTGGAAGGTTGCTTACCCCATTCTACAGTTTGTTTAAATAAAAAAAAGTGTATTTTTTTGTTTGTTACTTTTTTTAGTCTTAGGTAATGACAAAGTTATTACTGAATAAACTGGTCCATAGCAGAAATGTAAAAACTGCTCTGCTCTTTAGGGGTGTACAGGTTTGAGAGGGGAAGTGGTTAATATAATGTAATCTCCCATGGTTATCGCCATGTTTTGCAGAGATGTACTGTACACAATTATACTTTAGATTTTTCTTTTGTTCTTAACTTTTTAAATTAAACTTTTAATTTGTAATCATGTAAGAAAAGTTAAGAAAAAAGTTCATTTAATTTCATGATTATTAATGAAAATTATTTTGATGCAACCAGAAGGGGGTGTTAAAACAAAATAATCCCTCAAATGGCAAATATGCTAGGTACATCAATACGTACAAGAGACGTTCTTAAATGTACACTGTAGACCTAATTCTCAGGTGAGAGTCAGGCCAGGACAGAGTTCCGAAAACAGCCATGTTTGAGATGTAAAATATATTTGAAAATGTCATACTTTGTGTTAAAATGTTTCAAAAAATTAACACATTTTTGAAGAGGATGACCTTTTTAGTAGCTAACCCCTAATTGCACAGAAGATTAATTGATGGAGTAAATATTTGTAAGAATTAAAGAATATAGTATGAAGTCCATTTACCATAGGACCGGGTGGGCCATCAGCACCAGTTGATCCTGGCAGACCTTGCTCACCCTATAAGAAAAGATGATTATATTTTATATAACTTGACACTTGGTTACTGTTATAGATATCATGTGACATCTAAGTAAAGGAGTACTTACCACAGGTCCAGGAATACCTCTTAAACCCTCAGGTCCAGGTTTTCCAGGAGGGCCTTGAGGACCAATAGGACCTGTCTTGCCAGGAGGACCTTCTAAGCCTGGTTCGCCCTGGTTCAGAAAAAATAGATTGTTAGCAGATGAAAAAAACTCACCAGCATACATCAAAGGTAAGCCCAGTCTACCTTGCCACCCTTCTCTCCTTGTCGTCCTTCTGGACCTGCTGGACCAGGTGGGCCCTAAAAGGAAAAAAAAGATCATAAATTCCAATCCCATTAAAACCACAAAATACATTGTTAACACCATGTATACAAAATGTTTTACCGACTAATATGTTTGTAAAGAATCATACATTCTTGCGATTCAACCACCCCTCCTGTGCAGATTTTTGGCCATATTTCTCTTGTGGGTCAGTCACGGGAGTGCACTTGTGCTGTCCTATGATCTAAAATTAGCCATTAGCGGGCTAAAGCTCACTGTCAGCTGACGTCACAGAGCCGCTCCAGGCTCTGAAAGGATCCCAACCATATTGTCAGGATCTACCCAGATTCCTGATCGGCAGCTGGCTCAGCCTTTCAGCATGCAGTTGAGAGCCAGGGCCAGGTGCTTTTATGCCCTTCCCAGCCAGGCACTCCAATGAGCACTAGAGGGGCAGAGTGGAGCAGTGACTGAAAGTTCTCTGCTCAGAGCTGACTGAGAACTGAGCAATCAGAGGTCATGTGATTGCTCAGTTCTTGGGCATGGAGATGGTGGGGGACAACTGCAACAACAGACTGATGTTGCAGCAAGGAGATGATTATGTATGTTTTTTTACATACCCCAAACATTTAAAGGATTGCATAAGTGAAAAGTGTATTTGAGTAACAAAAACTTATTAAGACAAAACCCATTTTCTGACTGGTCCACTGTTTTCTTATCAGTCAGTTTAATAGTGGTCATTGTTTGACTTTTAGGTACTTACCCTTTTCCCAGGTGGGCCAGATGGACCTGGTTCTCCAGTAGGTCCTGGTGATCCCTGATAAGACAGAATGTAAAACAGGTTACCAAATGTTTATTTTTCTTTCTTTTAATAGAAAACATACAACAGTATTTATACTCACAGGCTGTCCAGATTCACCATCATCTCCTTTGTCACCAGGGGGTCCATCCTGACCCTAATGTTTAGAGATGAGGAAACATTTTTTTAAAACCTTTTTGAGGTACATGCACTCTTGAGTTTCCTGCAAATTTTGTTACATTGACTGTCATATGCTTATTGACCGGTTGTCTAGTGTGGCCAGTACTTACTGCGGGACCAGGTTCACCAGGGGGGCCAGGGTCTCCAGGAAATCCAACTGGACCCTTTCAACCAATAAAAGAAGTATGTCAACAATACACTCATGCAGCTTGATTCATAGATCAATCAAGAGAAGACCATGGACCTGTACTTACAGGGCTACCTTTAGGACCATCATCCCCAGGAGGTCCTTTTGGACCAGGTGGACCAGCTGCTCCTTGAAGACCTGCTTCTCCTTTTTCTCCTCTTTCACCTTTTGGGCCCTATAAAATGAAGAACCCACAAAATCAGTTTATACATCTGTGAAACACTGTGTATTTAAACATTTAGTAGTTTCTGTATAAGGCTTGTAGTTCATTGATTACTTTCCATCCTTATCTTTACCCTTATTCATGAGCTGTAGGTAATGATTAAATGGTAGCAAGTTTTCTCCTTAGGAATTCTGGTTTAGTCTGGAAGTGGTGTAGGGATCATATATGGATACTGATTGGGATTTTGTCACAGTAGCTGTACAAAACATTTCTAACTGCAAGGAGGCCCTAAACTAAATCAAATCATCCTGGTAGGATTTTATCTCCAACTAACCTGGGAAGCCTTGAAATCTCTCAGAAGACCTGGGCTATCTTAGAATAATCCCTACAACCCCGAAAACATCTGCATACAGATGCAAATACGAATTACATCAACTGGACACGTGTTCATTTTATTAGAATATAGTAAGACAATAAATGGCTATTTGGAATATTTCTGCTGACATTCCCTGTAAAAAAAATGCAGTGGGAAATCCAAATGATCTTTACTTACTGGTGGTCCAAGCTCTCCAGGAAGACCAGGCTCACCAGACTCTCCAGGGTCACCCTGTAAACACAAAAACACAAGTGGAGTTAGCAGCTGTAAAATTCACTTCCATTCAGCTTTGCAACTAATTTTAAAGACAACCTACCTTCTCTCCAGCAGGTCCGGGATTTCCAATTCCTCCTGGAGGACCTTGTGGTCCATCAGCTCCTGGTGGACCATTGGGCCCTCTTGGTCCAGGTGGACCTGGTGGACCCTGTAAGCAGAGATGGCATGCAGTTGATAAGATGGGAACAAAAGTACACAAAATTAATTTTACCAAAGGGAGTTAGGAATGTTATGACTACAGTCCATCAAACACCAGGACCTGTGTGGACATTCCAACAAAGTATTTTACAGCTGAATAGGTCTGAATCAGGAATAAAAACAAACTTCACTCTCATATTTCATATCTCCATATCTCAGTTGTAATGATGCAATGATGATGGAAAAACATGAATACAGCACCCCTTGTAATGTCCTCCAATTTTGCCAAGTGCGCTGCTTTTTAAACTGCCAACACTGTCAGCACCTATCATAGTAATGAGCCATTAGAAAATTTAGCTTAAGAGGAAAAGAGTGTGGGTCAGACCTCAAAACTGTGGATGAGTGTGGATATGTACATGAGAATCCTTAGGTTCTACAGAAAAAGTTCAGAGTAATGGCTTGCATTTTAGACAATATCATTCTGAATGTCTGCTTTGAGGGACCAGATTTAAGAGATCTGCATATTGGAAGCCCCCACCACCCTCCCCCAGTATCAGAAACTGCAACAAATTTTTCAAAGGCTGTCTTTAAGGATCTGAGGACCTCTGACATTAGGAACTACAGTATATAAAATGTATTAAACCCCAGACCAACTTCCTGATAGTGACAACAGTGGGTCATGCTTGCACAATGTGTCTTCCTGGCCACTTGTCTACACCAGGGGTGCATGGGACATAGTGGCAACTTGGGAGCACAACTCGAAGACAGTTGTCACACTATAACAGGAGTGCCTGAACAAGAACTTTCATGGCAGGATCACTAAGTATTATTTAAATGAAAGTTGCATAGTTAAAATGTTAGGGATGTTTTGTAATTACAATATATTTAAGCTTATGTGAGATTTAGGCAATTGGGTTAGACCTACTTTAGGAGAGCACAGCAGAAGCGGTTTCCTTTCAGACTGTCACTCTCTGATTAGGAATTGCTGAGTGTGCAATCTGAGCTATAACAATGCAAATAGCTCTGTAAACAGTCTTTTTCAGAAAAGTAGCTATGATTAGCCTGTAAAACGTCTGCTAACCGGATGCATAAATATGAAGTATTTATGTTTTACTCACTAAAAATGCAAAATGTGTTGTTTCTCTCTCTATACATTCACTTAAAATAAAAACTATAATAGATTTAAGTTTCTATGTTTTTAAATTGTTCTTTTATATACATGTATGTTCCTACTAATCTATGTGGTAAGCGAGAAGTCATTTGCAATGACTACTGAGTGCAGCTGTTAACAGTGAGGTGTGCTAACCATGTGTCAGTGTTAACCATGTGAAAAGGAATTGAGAACTCCACTTACCACATAATATTATTATGCAATATTTTTAGCCCTGACCAGAATACACAAAAGTAAAAGTCACTATACATTCCCATTAGTGTCTACAATTGTAATTGGAAAATGATGCACATTTCTTATTATCTCACAGTTTTTATATGCACAAGCTGTTTTCATTGTTGTGTAAATGCTCCATCAGCACAGACTTTCCTTTTTTTATGTGTGTTTGAAATATTCAGCTCCAATAAGCTGGAAATCAGGGATTTATTAATGCTCTTCTTTTGTGAAGATACATAATGTTAGATGTTTCCTTTGTCTTGCTGTTAGTGCACGGTGTGTACTATGAGTGGGATCAGACTATGAGCAATTACACAGCTGTAATGTTTGATGTATTCCAGTGCTGCAGTGTCTCTGCAGAGTTACTGTACCAAGTTGGGGATTTATTTGATTCTAATGGAGAAGTAAACAGACAGTTCCTCAGTTGTGTTATTATGGGCCATGTACAAAACATAGCAATGGTCTTGTTTTTATCAGACATAATGAAAAATCTGAATAATCCCTAGAATTGAACTCTAACAGCTTCATGTTTTAAAATTACACCACTATATAACACATGTAACAGGAAAAAATGCTCACTAGTAATACTTACCATCTGACCGACATCACCTGTCTCTCCCTTCTCACCTGGAGGTCCGGGCAAGCCCTATGGCAAATATAAACATACGTGGTGTCAGTTCATAGACTAAATGCACAGAATATGTTTCTGTAGAAATGTTACTTACTCATTTACATAATGCATATTAGTTCCTGCTTTATATCACAGTTTAATTTTCTCCATACAAGCCCCTCGAAAGGAGTTTGATTGAAGGCAACTGAAACCAACAACCAAGTTCTCTAATGCTACAGTGCTAACCATGGCATCACCACTTATGGAACTAGAATTGTGGTTAGTGTTTGCACAGACCCTGGAACCTTTGGTTGTACAAGTTATTATTTGCTGCTAAATTGATGGGAATATTTCATAGGGCAGCTCAAAGTTAAACATAAGCATATATTCTAAGGCTTCCATCTGTGAGTTCTAATTCACCAAAAGGCCAAATGTACACAGGACAGTATAACACTGTTTTTAGAGGTGCTTTGCATTTTTTTTGCCTCTAAATGCCCCTTAATGTTAACTTACTGTATGTGTCCCTGCATACATGTGTTTACAGGTGTTTAATGGCAGAAAAAAAAAATCCCAGGGGCAGCATGTTCAGGAAAGGAGTGCTCCAGCTTCAAACGCTTGACATGCCTAAATGCATATGCGAAAGGTGACTTTAGACATGTGTTTGGTGCTAATTATTCCTCCCCTTGTGCATTGGTGTCCAGTAAAAAAAATAAACATCCTGTGTGCAAGGGGTGTAATGGTTATAAATTCTCACAATGGATCAATAATTGCCCGAGGGTGGTAGGGTTGTACTGTACACTAAAATGGTGTTTTATATTCATGGATACACAAACTAATAGTTGGGAACTTTGGCAAATAATTTATAAGGGCAATTTGCTACTGAGAAGCTACACCTAACTGAACAACAATAACCGTGTCACAGAAAAGCACAACAGACAAAAGATACTGTGGTGACAAATTTATGTAACTGAAACAATGCTTAGATTTGCATTTGAAATTCTTCTCTTCAGTAATAGAAAGGTTAAAAACAAGTTAAATGTTAAAACATAAAAGGATCTTTGGACCGTTTACCATTATAGATAGCTAGGGACATTTGCAATCTCAAACATTCAAATCCTTCCTTGGAAATCAAGGCTGCTTTATCTGTAAGTGTCCTGCACGTTGAGGAAGGGAAGACAGACAAGGCAGGCAATACATGGAGAAAACTACTTATTGGAGCAGCGAGGAGATATTAAAGATTCATGGAACCTTGTCAGAATTTTATTTTCCTCTACCGTAATCAGACTTCATGGAGGTTACAATGAAATTCAGCCTCCTGTGTAATTAAAGCTCATAAAGATCTGTTAATTGATGATCAGCATTGTTAGGCCTGTGTAGTCAGCATAAACCTTCTGCAGAATCAGTAAGATGCAAAGCCTTAAAGCTGTCATAAACTGCCAAGGTGGGTTTCCCAGAAGTTTGCCCTTATTGTGATAATGAATATCGCTATGCCTGTTGAGGACTGCCTGTCTGGTGAAGATTAGTCTAATTCCTTTGGCAGGAAAGTCTTTTCTAAACTTCATATCGTAATCACCTGGAGCCCAACTGGGCCTGGTGGTCCGGGGAAACCCCTGGGACCTTCGTCACCTTTCTGACCGAACAAGCCTTGCTGTCCTCGGGGTCCAGGTTCTCCATCTGCTCCCTGGAAGGAAATTATGACACAGAATTTCTAATGTTAGAATCCATGGGCAACATCAACAGATAATTTTTGGAACTGGATTTTACTCACTGATGGACCAGGCTGACCAATAGGTCCCTGAGGTCCTGCAGGTCCAGGTGGGCCCTGTGTTAAAAAATATGAGGTTAATCATTTTGTTCTACAAAAAAAAAAAAACAACAACAACAACACAAATAGCAGACAGATCACAACAGTTACCTGCTCCCCTTTGTCACCTCTGTTTCCCTTCTGTCCTGGCTCTCCAATCTCACCCTGGAACAAAGAAATCACACACCATGTTAATTTACACAATTCGTGACAAACTTCTTCCGCGACGCCCTATAGCAGAAATACTGCTACAGGGCGGAATGGGTGCACAAAATCACGTATATATACGTGACTTTGCAGTTCCAGGTAGGAGCATGCGCACCCTACTCAAGCCACCGTTCACAGCCTTGGCTGTCAATCACGGTGATTCCCCACCGGCACCCAGCGATCTCCAAGTATTATCGACGGGGGAGTGACCTGTATGTAAACAATACAGATCTCTCCCGTCAGCTCCTGCACACTGCTTTGTATGGCTCTGCATAGCAGAGTCATACAAAGCAGTGTACTTACAGTGAAACACACACAGCCTACATAGTAAAACAGCACACAGTTAACCCTTTGATCAGCCCACGTTAGCCCCTTCCTGCCCAGTGACATTAGTACAGTGTACTTTTTAGTACTTTTTATTCGCACTGAGCACTGTATTGGTGTCACAGAGGATATCAGTGACACCAATCAGTTCCCCCAGTGTCAGAATGCCCACCGCAGTCCCGCTATAAGTCGATGATCACCATCATTACTAGTAAAAAAAATAATAATAATATTCCAGAATATATACTGCCATTTGTAAATGATATAACTTTCACGTAAACCAATTAATGTACGCGTATTGGGATTTATTTTAGTAAAGACATGTCACAGAATGCATTTTGGCCTAAATTTATGACAAAATTAGATTTTTTAAATTTTTTTAATAGCAAAAAGTAAAAAATATATTTTTTTTCAAAATTGTTGGTCTTTTTTGTTTATAGCGCAAAAAATTTAAAATGTACAGGTGATCAAATACCACCGATCGAAAGCACTATTTGTGGGAAAAAAAGGATGTAAATTGAATTTGGGTACAGCGTTGCATGACCGCGCAATTGTCAGTTAAAGTAACGCAGCGCAGTATCGCAAAAAATGGCCTGGTCAGGAAGGGGGTATATCCTCTGGAGGGCAAGTGGTTAACTATGATGACAAAAGAATTGAATCATAGTAATCTTTTATGACCATTTGGTTCAATAAGAACACACTTGAGCTCCAGAAAGTTGTACCCCCTTCATGGCCAGGGCATTTTTTAGCTATTCAGCACTTTGCTACTTTAACTGGCAATTTTGCAGTCATGCAATATTGTATGCAAATGATATTTTTTAGTTTTTCACATAAATAGAACTTTCTTTTGGAGGTATTTGATCACCATTGGGTTTTTTATTTTTTGCAATATAAACAAAAATTATTATTAAAATATTGGGAAAAAAGATTATTTTTTTCTACTTGCTGTCATAAAACATATCCAATAAGATCAAATTACATCATAAATTTAGACCAAAATGTATTCTGCTACATGTCGTTGGTAAAAAAAATCCCAATACGGGTATAATACCTGGTTTGTGTGAAAGTTATAGCGTCTACAAACTTTAGGATATACAATGTATACCCACTGTAAATTTGATCCTGATGTACTAATGGCCTATCTCATTCCTTGAAGCCCTAAAACGCCAGGGCTGTACAAATTCCCCCAAATGACCTCTTTTTGAAAAGTAGAAAGTCTGAGGCATTTAGTAAGAGACATAGTGACTTTTTTGAAGTTGTAATTCTTGTCACAATTTTTTTGAAAATGAAAAGATTCAATAAACTTTCTTTTTTTTTTCACACACCGTCACTAGTGCAATACATCGTCATCATATGACTGATGTGGCAGTGATCTGGAATACTGACTGGTGACAATATTTTAGAAAAAAGTAAATTTTTTTTTTTTTAATTGTTTCATATTTTATTTTCATTTTTTAACCTTTTTTTTTAAATGTTTTACTATATTATTTTACATACTTTTATCAGAGTAGTTCAGTGTCACCATAGTAACACTGTACTATTCTGAGGGGGTGATCAAGGATTTTATTTACACTTTGCTGTTGCAATGATCTTTATTGCAACAGCAAAGTTTTCAACTGTCATGAATGGGATTAACCATTCATGACAGCTGTGATCTGTGATTGGCTACAGGTAATTACGTGGTACAGGGTGTTGTGATGGTTCTGGTATCATGTGTTAGCTGTGGGCTAATCACAGCATAGTCAACAAAGCTGTTATGAATTAATTAATTCATAATAGTTTTGTTAACATTCTGTATATGTGATTGCATAGTGGTCACATGATCACCAGGTTTCCAAATACGGGGATCCACATTCCACTGTGTCTGGTGGACACATTGGTCATGGGAAAGGGTCGTACAGCGCCCCCCTTAGCCCAAGCAGGCAAAATTATATACATATATACGTGATTTTGCCTGCAGGTGCCGACCTGCCGCAGTATATGTACTGTGGCTGGTTGGCAAGTGGTTAAAATATTTCATGCTGGGTCTGGAAGCTCTACAGAGCACTTATTTGCTTTAAAGTATATAGTATTTCAGGGAAAATAAAAAAAACATGTGCAGTACTTCTTGGCAATACATGCACGTTTTCCCATGTTCTATCCCTTTGATGATCCTGCAAATACAGAAATATATCATCCAAAATTAACCACATTGTGTAAAAATATGTTACATGTTTCCCTTTTTTAGACAGCAGCTACTACAAAAGGTGCTTGTGCTTCCTTACCATACTATACAAAATTGTTCTCACAGTGCTATCTCTAAGCATTTCATCACAAAATACATTTATAAATACATTAAATTAAAAAGTCTCTACATCCATAAACAAAGTGGTCAGTGTTGGAATCAAATATATATATATATATATATATATATATATATATATATATATATATATATATATATTTATCACAGTCTCGCCACGCAAAGTGCTCCATGCTTAAGTCTGTATAACTTGTGCGGATCCACCATTTCCTCTTTTCACCATCAAATGTGCCGTGCCCCTCTCAAGCATTCCCACTCTCTCTGTCTCTATACAGCTAGAAGAGTCAAACAAGCTTGCAAACAGATCCCGTGGACATGAAAGATGTTTTGTTTTCTCAGGGTCTCCATTTCTCTCCTCCACTTCTTGCTCCTTTAAAACCACCACTTATAAATTGCTCCAGTCAGACTGTACTACTCTGCATGGTACTCGCATTTCAACGCATGCATGGACAAAGAAGGGGGGTTCCACCATAGTGCAGCATTGTTATATTAAAAAAAAACAAACACATCTTTCATGTCCACGTGATCTGTTTGCAAGCTTGTTTGACTTTTCTAGCTATATAGTAGAGTCATATTCCTCTGGTGAGCTCGGGAACAGTTGAGGAGGGGCACAGCACATTTGATGGTGAAAAGCGGAAGTGATGGATCTGCACAAGTTATATAGACTTAAACACGGAGCACTTGATGTTTGACACAAAGAGACTGAGCATGTTATGTTATGGATGTAGAGACTTATTAATTAGTTGATTGATTCATTTTGTGATGAATTGCTTAGAGATAGAGCACAGTTTTGTATAAATACAGAAATATACCTTTTGATATGCCAGAAATGCACTCAGCTGCGAAGGCCTGTTCTGGTCTGACAACACACTTTTGTGGACTGAATAGTGCAAGCCCTGTCCAGTTGTCTTTTGCTAAACCACGCAAGCCCTTCCACTCTCCTCATCTCTACCACATAGACACTAATTATTCTGTAGTCTGGGACAAGAAATGGAAGGGCTAATTAGACTCCTTGAGATAACACGAAGTGTGCACCAAACAACTCTGAATTTCTGACATGATCAACTGGTATTTTTTTGCAATTTGAAAAGATGTAATAAATGCTTTCAATGTTATATTTAACAATACAAATGGGAGCAAAAAGAGAAGCTAATTGTTAGGGTACACTTAACAAACTTTACATACACTTCTTATAAGCTTGTGGTTGTTTTACACCAAAAGCTCCTGGTGTTTATTACATCCATTCCCAACCAGCTGGCAGTGATTACATTACTTCTAAACACTTCTGGAGCAGGCTTTCACATATCACTCTTTTTACCTTATCTCCATCTTCTCCTGGAGGACCAACTGGTCCAGCTGGGCCTGGGAGACCAACAGGACCTTGGATACCATCACGTCCAGCCGGCCCCTGGGGACCTTTTTCTCCCTGTAGTTACAAGATACAAATGTGAGGAATTCAAGCGCTAACCACAGGGAAAAGAAACATTTACACCAATAAAACAAACACACTTATAACAGTTACAGGAGGTCCTGTGAGACATTCATCCAAATCAGACAGCTAGGGCCATCACGTGACTTATTGTGCATGTTATCTACAGTTCCCTTTCATAGCTGGAATTATCTCCTATATATTTTATTATAGCAAATATATTGTAACATTTATCTCTACAGCATGAATGATACAGGTCTTAGCAGACATTTCTGCTGTGTTTAGATCCATCCTGAAAAAGTGTATGAATGTGCTAATCGAGGAGGTTGTAATGCTGAAACAGACATTTTGTTTTCTCTATAAATAACAATTACAATAGACAGGCAAAAACAAATAAAAAAAGAAATCCTGACTTGAAATCTGAACCACTCATTATCACTAATGAAGTAAAGAGCCTGTTAGTGGCCGTTGCATGCTGGACTGTTTAAGCTATGAGCCATGCGCCTCTGAATAGCTCTGCCATATTATGAATTCTGTGAGCTGACCATAAAGAACTATAAATAAAACAAATGGCTTTTTTCATCTGACATGAAGTGCAGTCTCTGAACTTCCCACAGACATAGCCCTTATAAAGGTGTTCTTCTGGCCCGGGTCTGCCATCTTTTAGTATGCCAATGCAAGCGAAAAAAAAATCCAGCCATTAAAAGGGCCCCTTTAAAACAATAATAATCAATCAACATTAATGTCTCTATTGGCTTGGAGCGAGCCACTATCTTGCCTGAATATGGCACAGATCGTGCAGCTGAAAATGTATCATGCCACACAGCTTCATCAAGTCTTAATGCCAAAACAGGCCAGTAATCACAAATCACAATACAAATCACAACAAGTTTGCTTGTGATAGGATTCAAAGTTCAGGTCACACACAGTGTCAGCACTGAGGTGTGGACTAGAGATGAGCGAAGTATTCAAAAATTCGATTCGGCTGATTTGGCGAATTCGAGAAATAAATTTGATTCGATGCGAATATATTCGCTGCGAATTTAACTTATAAAAGGGTGTTTCTAGGCTTCAGAGAGCCTTCATATTGAGGCAGCAGCAATGGGAGGCCATACAGCACCCTATGTACAAAAATGGCACCCACCAGCAGGTGTGAGGAGACCTGAAAGTGGCCACATGGCAGAGTGTGGCGATGGAGACAGCAGCAATGGGAGGCCGCACAGGGACCCATGAGACACTGTGGACCTGGCAGCAGCATGAGGAGGCGGTACGGGGGCCCATGGCAGATTACGGGCCTGGCAGCAGCAATGGGAGGCCCGTAATCTGCCCAGCACCCTATGACAAAATGGAACACACCAGCAGTTGGTGAGGAGACCTGAAAGTGGCACATGGCAGAGTGTGGCGATGGAGACAGCAGCAATGGGAGGCCGTACAGGGACCCCATGAGACACTGTGGACCTGGCAGCAGCATGAGGAGGCGGTACGGGGGGGCCCATGGCAGATTACGGGCCTAGCAGCAGCAATGGGAGGCCCGTAATCTAAAGTTTACACAGGGGAGTACCTTTATCCGCTTGTAACATCAGGAATCTGTGATGGCCTTTCGCTGTTCGTAAAGGCGGTCTTCACATATGTAGGGTTGAATTCCACCTTGTTGCAACGTCACAGCATGAGGAGTCGGTACGGGGGCCCATGGCAGATTACGGGCCTGGCAGCAGCAATGAGAGGCCCGTAATCTGCCAGCATCCTATGAAAAAAATGGAACACACCAGCAGTGATGAAAGTTTAGACCTTAGAAAGTGGCGGATTGCCGTTCAATGTAGCTAGTGAGAGATGATCAGAGGAAGCCATGGCGCAGGCCCGTACAGGGACCCAAGATACACTGTGGATATGCAGACAAGCAGTATTGAGCAGCCTATAACAGGGGCTCCTGGTAAATTACGGGCCTGGCAGCAGCTTAGTGTAGCGCGATATTGTGGCAGACGACCTCGGAGGACACAATGGAAACGCACCAGCAGTTGGCGAGTGAAACCTGAAAGATGGCACATGCAGAGTTTTGGCGATAGAAGTCAGCAGCACATGGCCTCGGTTAAAAGGCACGGATCAAAAGGAACCCATCAGACAGGTGAGGAGACAGGCAGCACATGAGGACATGGCGCACGTTTGGTGGGCGGTGAGACGGATTGCGGGCCTAGTCAGCATCGATGTGAAGCTCATTGAGTCAGACCTATCACCCTAATGACAGAAATTGGCGCAACCAACAGTGTTAATTGAAGACCTGAAAGTGGCATCATGGCGCAGTGTTGGGCCGGTTGGAGGTCTAGCAGTGATTGCGGAAGCAAACACAGGGACCTAGGGTAAAAAAAGAAGACGAAGACCTGTCTGCATGCATGTGGAGGGGCAGTACAGAGGACCAAGGCTACGACTACGGCCATGGCTGTCAGTAAGGGAGGCCACGTGGAAATTTTTGATTAGCTAGCAGTTACGGAATGGAACGAACTACCAGCATGTGAGGAGACCTCGAGTTAAACACATAGGCGGAGTGATGCCGATTTAGATCTAGCAGCTTTATTGGATGGCAGGACAGGCACCCATGATAAACTGTGGACAGGCAGCAGGCATTAATTTTGTGGCTGTGGATTGCCCAGCAGTATAACGTGCCTGGCAAAATAGCAATGTCAAAGGCGCATCGAGTTAAATGTGAGCCTGAAGTCGCTATGACAAAAATGGAACACAGCAGCAAGTGTGAGGCAGACTGTCAGAGGACATGGCGCGTATGGCTAGAGTGTGGGCGGGTGGAGACAAGTCAGCAATGGTAAGGCCATACAGAGACACCTATCACAAGAAACTGTGGGAACCTGGCAGCAGCATGAGAAGGCGGTACGTGTGAGCCCCATGAAGAGTGACGACCGTAGGCTAGCATCAGGTGTGGCGTAATCAGCGGTGGCACCCTATTTTTTTTTTGGATGCTTTAGCGGTATTGTCGGAAGTCCCAGAACTAGGCATCATGTTAAAGTCGTGAAGCCGAAGGAACTAGCAAGCGTTTGAGGCTGTACAGGGACCCATGACGACACTGTGGACAATCTGGCCTGCAGTATTTGAGGTAGGCGGTAAAACGGGGGCCCATGGCAGATTACGGGCCTAGCAGCATCAATGGAAGGTCGCATAATCGCCAGCACCTCTGATCACAAAATGGAACACACGCTACCAACTGTGTAAGTGAAGACCTGAAAGAGGCACATGGCGGGAGGTTTTTGGTGGCGATGGATCGGCAGCAGTATTCGAGGGCCGTACAAGACCTCGGTTAAAAAGCTGGAAGCCTGTCAGCTGCAGCATGTGGAAGGGCAGTAACTAGTGGCCCATGCGCACATGGCGAGCCTGGCCATGCATGCAAGTGGATGACCGCAGTAATCTGCCGTGGAAAGCCAAACACATGGAACACTCAGAGTTAACCAAAGCACCAGCCACGACCAACAAAAAACGTCATCCTCTCCACACCGCCAGCTGGTGTTTGTAGGAGACCTGACAGAGACACCATGGCACAGATGTGGCGGGGTGTGATTTGTGCAGCAGTAAATGAGGAAGCCAGAACACAGGACTCGGTTAGACAAAGCGGTGGAAGCTATGTTGTCAGCAATCGTGGCAGGAAGACAGAGAACGGGATGATTGTGCCCAGTGCAGATATACGGTGGATGTGCAGCAGTATTCGGAAGCCTGAGATCTACCAGTCAGGCTATGGTTTAAAAAACTGGAAGTGCAACCTTAGAGCTGTGAGGCGACGACAGAAGACGCACAATGGCAGAGTGTGGCGATCTGGAACTAGCAGTTGATGGAGGTCAGGTTACAGGGGCCCGTGGCATCAGTCTGGACCTGGCAAGCATGCATGAGAGGGCGTTACCAGGGCTCAACTGGATGCCAGAATTACGGCCTGGCACCAGCAATGGAGGCGCTACCTTATTACTGCCATGGATATTATGACAGTTGTTAAAATGGAACACAGTCGGCCGTATGAAGGAGTCCTTAAATGTGGCTACATGTTGGCAGGGCTGATTCTCATGTCGGATTTAGTCAGTTTGTTGTCAGGAACTTGATGGTTGGAAATCCAGACTAACCATCCATGCCTTGAGTTTCGATTTTAACTCGCAAAACAGTGATGTCTCTCTCACACTTGGGGTGTACAGTCGTGTCCTCCGTGGAGTTACTAATACCTCCTTACCGCACTAAACACCACATCGCGCTCCGATGCCTCACGATACTTGGTCCTGCGAGCATGACAGCCTGTCGAAGGGTCCAAATTCAAGCTAGTTGGGGCCAAAAGGTCAAGTTTTCGTTGCGCCCTGAGTCAGGTCAAGGGGAATTGACTACTTCTGAGTTCTGGCAGGGGGTTGTCTGTCAGAAGGATGGCACGTGCAAGCCTTTCGCATGTTGTTTGAGGTCCTGCCTCCAGGTCCGCACTCCTGATGCTGGTGCTGACATGATACGGGGTACGCTGGTTTAGTAGGTTTCCTCTACACTGCGTTGGTTTTGAAGTGAAAGCTACTCATCATCGTCTGCAATGACTGTGGCTAGCCGCTGCTGGGTGAGAGTGGCTAGCCAGTGCTTCTACCACCCCCACCCCTCCTGCTGCTGCCATGACAGCGGAACGCGAGTATCACAGGGCCCACAGAGTCCTGAGGAATGGACATTGGCGGCAGCAAAGGCAGGAGGCCCAACTGACTAATGGGTGGTTTTTTATAGTACTTATTTGGCCCCCTTAAGCAGGTGTGAAAAAGGCCCCATTTTTGAAGGGGGGTAGGAGGGTCAAAAAGGGGGAAGCCAAAAGTCACCCCTCGTCTGATGGTTAGTATTGGGCTGTCGCTACGAAGAAAAACCAATGCTATGGGCCATTTGTCCAAGGGAATGCAGGGACTCCCTGCCTCCATCCCACAGATCGCCAGGGGCGCTGGGTCCCTGTCCCCTTTTTCCCCTCCTCTACCAGAGCTCCGCTCCTCCACCCTGTC